GCAATCGACCTTTTAAAAGTAGCCAAGCATGGTTGTTTTTAAGCAATAGGTGATATGTTTCTCCATTATAGAATAGGTGCACTTGTATGACATGTACAATACAACCCGATCAATATATTTGTTGCCAATAGTATCAGCCGATTTAAGCCTTTTACAGACATATTGCTAAGATGTGCAATGATGTTTACAATTACGTGATATAGTTGTTCATTTTCTTAATTCAAATCCTAGATATTCTGTTGTCATTTGCTATTTATGTTTTCTTTGTTCATAGTTACTTAGACCAGATTTTTTAAATATATATACATCAATCAATATATCTGAAAAATCCATCAGGCTCTGATACACATTTTGTCAGTATACATTGTTGGGATCTGGTTTAGATTGAGTCCCCAAATTCCCTTAACAGAATAATTATTCAACTGTTATATCATTATAATGAACAGCAAACATAAAGGAGATAAAACTAAATACTCTTCATGATAAAGGCAACAGTGGCACTTTGTAAACCCTAGAGAGCTGCAGTGTGAAGAATCATCTGTGCGTCTTTCCACTTTGTGATCAGAGCGACTGTTGAAGCATACAGAACATTTTCCAGGCTTCAACTCCCAGGTGTCTTGTAGCCCCAGGATTCCCAGAAAGAAGTCAGCCAGGCTTCCTTGGTGAATGCACTAATGTGACACCATAATCACGCACAGGTGCATTTTTGCGCTTCACGGAGCAACAGTGCTGAGCTGCTGGCGGTGGCAGGTGCCGGCACTGGTGAGCATGTAAACTTAAGCCCACATTTTTTATGTATTCATGTACTGAAGAGCTGCATCATCGTGACATTCAGTGTGTGTTCTGAGTAAAAAAAGGAAAAATGAAAAGACCTCATCACTCACAAATTGAAACTGTGCGTACTCTTGTGTCGCTGTGGCCTTTGCTTTTAATGAATGGTCATTGACAGAGGGCACTGCAGCGAGGCCAGTGAAGCAGTGGGAGTAAGAGGAACAGACACCTCCACCTCCCGCCCCTCTGCGGTGCTACACACACTGATCGCCTACACACACACGTACAACTACACAGACGCACTCACAGACACAATGGGTTCTCTTCCCACCAGTCCAATAACAGGCCTATTTATTAGAGTCTCTTACAGACAATATTGACAACCTGCTGACACAGAGTCACTCCAGCATAAACAAATGGAGCAATAGAGAAGAGCAGGGGAAGGCAGGAAGCAAAGGAAAAGAGACCTGTTATAGTGGCTTTTTGACTCGAGTCCTTTGTAGATGTACAGAAAGATAAGAGAGGAGAAAGAGAGCAGCCACTTCTGCTTCATCTACCTTTCAACATATATAAATCCAGACACAGCATACAGAGTAAAGAGCTGCTAGAAGACGTGACTTGATCACTAACTTCTTGCTATCGTCTCTCCAAGGCAGGCAGGACAGCTAGTGACAGACAGTTACACCAGCAAATCATTTCCTTTGCTTCAAATGTGATGATTGGTCATGTTCATTACAGTCATGCATGGGCCAGGACAACTTTATGTGTCTATACGTGAAGAGGATTTCAACAAATAATCGCCTGTAAAAAGAAGCATCTTATTTACTGCATTTTTAAATTCTAACTTAAAGGTTCAGTGTGTGAGATTTAGGTGAAAGGGATTTATTGGCAGATGTTACTAAATTCTACACACTGCACCTTTAAATAACAGAACATCCAACTGAGATCGCAGAGTAATGTATCATTTAAAGGTTAACTTGACAGTTAATATCTTGGTTTTTCCAAAGCATCAGGAAGTAGAAATGCATTGATTGTTTAGCATGTTTCACTGCAGAATCCTCAAGTTTTAGCTGCAATGAGTCGTTCCAGTTATATCTTGGATATGCAAAGAAGCCTAAAGGGACTGAGTGTACTATGCATACCAAATATCTGGCTCATTAAGAAGTTATAATTACTGTGTCAGTTTGACATAAACCAAAAGAGCAAGGCGGTCACAGAGAAAATGGAGGGGGGGAAAAACTGCTGATCTGCACAAAGACACATTCTAAGGTGCTTGTTCGAGCTGACCTCTAGAACCAGGTGAGCTTGTGCGGGCAGTCACAGGGAGTGGGGGGTGGAGAGGAGCTCGGTGAATGGAATGAGCAATAGCTATGCAGACAGGTCAACAGAGAGACACACTTTATGAAGACAGATGAGGCCGGATTGGGCACGCAAACACAAAGACAAAGAGACAGATAGACCGCGTGGCCCTGAGCTGTGGAGGTCATCTCTGACTCAAACAGACAGGTCAGATGAGCCGCCGAACAACATTCAAACATGAACCAGTTGTGACTGAGACTTCGCGAAACACGTTGAGATGGAGCTAACAGAATGGAGTGTCCCAGGAACGCTCATCATGCAGCATTTTGGGTGACAGTGAGAGGACATCACTACAGGAGCTCCCCTCCGGGCATCAGCAGGCTGGAAGCAGAGTGTTTTTTAACATGGCGGCTGGCCACAATGACGCCACAGTGTATCGAGAGGTTCTACACCTACAGGAGCCCAGTGATCATGTTCTCTATCAGCTCACCATTGTTCCGCTTTGCTCTGTTCTCTGTCCAGATGACACACAGTCACAGTTAAATAGGCAAACACACACACAACCGCAGCAGCAGCCCCGTACCCCTAACTTGGTGCAGAGCCCATGTCGGGCAGAGCAAAGCTGGCTGCCCGCGGCTTTGTGTAGAGCACTCTGTACAGCACAACCACACCATGCCATTATCAGCATCAGGACTGTCATCACTATCACAGTGGCCAAAGACCTCTGCCAGGGCCGTGGATTGCAGACACAGCTAGTTATCATGGATTTGGGAATACAATATCAAGGACGGAGCAGCATGAGGAACGGTTGTTTGCTCAAGGTCAAACAAAACACCGCATAGGAAACGACTAATAGCCATACAGACACAGCTAGTGATGCATGCGGTGTGTTCTGGCATAAGCACGGCATTCCTATTTCATGTTTTTTTGTTTTTTTTGATGACATATATCGCCATTTGTCAGAGGTACATTATCACAACCTAGCAGATTTATATCCGCGAGGCGAATCAGTAAATTTGCTGATTGGAGGTCCAGATCAGCCAGCGCCAGAATTGTAAAGGTCATTACAATGACATTACCCTTTGCAGGGGGAAGAAACCAGAAATGTCAAATCGCTCAGCTGCCACATCATCATGCAAATAGAGCAGAATGTTAGAGGCTGCAAAAAAACAAAATTTTCAGACAGAAATAATAGAAGATACCTATCTGACTGACAACTTAATAATAAGGAGGAGCCTGGGTCAGCTTTTTAAACCGTGTGTGTGTGGAGACAAGATGTCTACACACCATTAGAAGTGATGAAAAACATGGATTTGGCATTTCTGAGCTACAGCTACATTATCGCTGTTTAAACACCACTCAGGCTGCTGTACATGTCTGCCGTGCAGTGAAGTGACACAGACAGCAAAGGCTGAAAACATGATACTGCACAACCCTAGTCAAATTCCGTGTTTTATTACTCCTACCACAATTGGAATAGACCCACGGTTATAACTAACCTACACTTAAACCATTGCTCCGATGAGCGAGTTTACCCAATGTTTGTTACCATGCTACAGCTGCAGCTCAGGGTTAAAGCTGTCGCTAACATGTCATGACCAAAAATCATTTACGAGAGCTTCTACCACCTGCGAGCTGATCAAGACAGTGCTTGCCTAACTGCTAACTGGGGCTGAACAGAGGAAACTGTTTTTGCTTTTGACCGGCCGCATTACCTGGAAATGTAACCCAGGCATCAACACAAACAGACAGAAATCTCCGTATAAAACAAAAGATAAACTGGAGAAAGTGCAAAAGTTCACTGTCACTGTTCAGCATGAACTTTGATAACTTGCTTCGAGCCTTTCGCTCACGGGAGTTTCTTCAATATGTCAAACTCGCGCATCTCAGACTACACGACTCCCTATAATCATTAGAGATGTCTGCTTGAAAAACATGCCTGCCGGGAGAGCAGAGGAGCCGGAGCAGCGCCTGAATCAGTCCAGGCATGCGTTAAAACAAAGTGGCCTCTCGCCGAGCCCATAACAACAATTACACACTTTAAACAAATGCACGCACAGTAGCCACACACAAGTCTCCCAGGCACATTACACGAATTAGAAGACTTTCACAAGCTGACACACACACACACACACTGCGTTGCTTGGTGAACAAACACACACACACACAAACACACGTTGTTCCTATCATATCCCTGCATCCACAATCAGTGGACATAGATGCAAAGCTCCCGTCGTCTGTGTGAATTTACAGGCTGACTTTGTAGAGACCACACAGAATCCCCTCTCTCTCAGACATGGCCAATATGAGAGCAGAATACTAAAGAAGAAAGCGCCGGCTGACTCAGAACAGCTCAACCCTGTAGAATAACTCAAAGCTATATGCAGCGAGCAGAGGACTGAATCTTTTTGTTTTATTTAACTAAGGACACTTGTGTGATGACCTTGTTGCTCATCGCTGATTAGGATGGATAGAGGAGAAGTGTGCAGAGAAACTAGGTAAAGAAATACAAATGTGCATCATTAAGTCCCTGTCAAGTATTTGTACACATCTACATTCCAATGGTCACCAATACGTTGTTGTGAAGCCATATTTGTCACTACAGCTCTGAAAGCAGGATGTGAGAATGGTGGAGCCTGGTCATGTGACCAAACAGCCCATAATGATACAGTCCACTTTGACCTTCCCTGTCATCACTCACACCTGCCCCATCAATGGCATACAATTACAGCAATTACACACACTAACCATGATTTAAGGGTTCATCCCAGCCAGTGCTCAATATTGACGGATGTCTGTGTTGCATGGAAACCAAGCAGTGCACGCCACTAATGAAGAGGTGCTGCTGGTCAACAATAAGGATGAGTGATCCGAGAACATGAGTGACCTTTAAAAAGTTCCATCAACCCAAAAAAAAAGCCACAACTCACCTAAAATCATGCTGTGTGTTGCCTTTGGTATCCCTGGGTTGACTAGAGATCCCTCACTGCCCCTGTCTCTCCTGCTTTTTCCAAGGGACAATGGCTCCAAATTCTCTTTTCAGAGTTCCTCTCCCCACTCTCCAAAAAGAGGCAACTCAGAGAGGCAGCACTGGATGTGAGGAAAGACTGCTGCTGCTGCTGCACATGTCGTCCCTAGCGCCTGTCCTCTCCAGGTGAAAAGCAGTTTCTGTGTGTGGGTGAGGGAGAGAGAAAGAGAGAGCGAGTGTGTGTGTGTGTGTGTGTGTGTGTGTGTGTGTGGAGGAGGAGGGGTGGTCCAGAGCTTCTGCAGTTGTGGCTCAGGTAAAGCCTGAGGACAGAATGTAGGGGGTGAGAAGCACAGGGTTGTGATAGAGAGAGAGAGAGAGAGAGAGAGAGAGAGAGGGAGAGAGGGAGAAGTGGGGAGTCAGAGAGAGGAGGGGGAGCCTAAAGTGTGACAGCCAATCACAGGGGGAGGCTACACAGCCAATATCTTCTTCTCCACAGCAGCCAGGAGGAATTGCAGTGGTCTCCAACAAACAGCTGACATGCAGTTTCTCCTCAGATGTATCATCTCACTGGGAGCTTCAGAGGGAAGGTCTTCAGTGCTCTGTCAAGTCTGCGCCTGCTTTGGTCTCTCTGTAAAACACACACTCACTTTCTCACCCTGGCTCTCTCTCTCTCTCTCTCTCTCTCTCTCTCTCTCTCTCTCTCTCTCTCTCTCCCTGCTCCTTGTTTTTGGGGTTGGGTATAACCTAAAGGCACCTTACATGCCTCTGCTCCGATTGGTGGCGGCCTCGACCAATGGGAGCAGCAGCAAACACTTGTCATCATGCAGAGAGGAAGTCATGAAGGAGAGAGAGAGCTTGACTGAAAAATGCCGCCTCTACCAACCACGACTTCTCCCTCTCTTTCCCCCACATTCTCCTCACCCTCCTTCCCCTGATTGTCAGACCTGTTTATTGCATTTGTTGTCTGCCACGCCGCCTCCCCCCCCCCCCCCCCCCCCCCCCCCTCGCTGTCCTTTGACTCCACGTGTATGTGGACTTGTTAAAGGATTAACCTTTTATCTGTGTGACTCTGTCTCTCCCTCCCTTCTCTCCCCCCATCTCTTAACCTGCCCAGGCAAGGTTACACATTTTATCAGCATCTGTGTGTTCGTCAAAGGGATGGAATTTAGACCCGGATTGGAGCAGGGAGTGTGTGTGTGTGTGTGTGTGTTGGGGGGGGGGGTGGCAAGCAAGAGAGGAGACATGAAATAGAAAGCGACAGAGCAGAGGAAGCAAGAGAAGGAGGGGCAGAGATTAAACTAAATACAAACTGACAGAGGGATGAAGAGACGTGGAGTGACAGGAAGAGACAACCGGGAGGATGGAATACAGAGATGCACACAGGCACAGAAGAAGAAGGTCTGCAGAGAATTTAACAGTTGACCAGGGCAATGCAGTCACTAATTAAAGAGGGGCTTCACAGCCAGCTTCTCATGGTCCACTTCCTTCACGCCGAGAAGCCACTCAAACAACGTCTGCTGTCATGTCCAAGAGCCTCTCTGCTTCTCTCTCTAGTTCCCCCTGTAAAGAGGAATCACAGGGAAGCTACAGAGCGAGAGGAAGAGAGAGAGCGAGAGAGACCTTTTGAAAATCACACAGCCACAATGTTATTGAGAAGCCTGGCGCTTAAGAGAAGGCTTAACAAAGCTGTCGAAAAATTAATCCCCTTGGGCAGGCATGCTTGCAAACACATAGATACAAACACGTGAGCCTGGGGCTATGGGGGGGAGAACGCTGCCTGATGTTCACAGTACCTCCTCTTGTCCTGCTCTATCCTTCTCTTTTTCCTTTCTATCTCTACCCCCCCACCCTTCTCACGCTCTCAGGCTGAGGCAGTGAGTCACAGGGTGTTGGAGTGAATACTAAGGAGGCTGGCTGACACCTCCAGTACCTCTGTGCACAGCAGCTCAGTTGAACACATTTAATTCATTGTATGTAAACACCGGCAGACTTAGGGGGCCACACAAATTCTTACAGATTGTATTAAAAAAAATCCACTGATGAAAAGCTGCTGGTATTATAGAGCATATGGCAGCTCTTAGCTACAGTGAGGTGCACAAAAATCATCCTGCACTCACAACCACCAACCAAGATCAAAAACAGAGTATAGTTTATCACATGTGATGAATAATGAACTAAGAACGATGTGGAAGATGTGGGCCAAACCAGATGAGAGAAGGAATTCAACCCAGTGAGTCCTTGGATCACATCATGTCTGTAGTTTTTAAAAATGGGACATATAGCATAGTACAATAGTTATCACCAGTGCATGCCAGTCCTTCAACGTGCATGTGTGTGTGCGTTTGTGTGTCAGCAAAAGAGCTGAGATAGGGTTTCCTCATTAGTTGTGTTGGTATCAATAATTCAGAGCCGGTCCTTGTTGGCGTTCAATGGGCCGAGTGCTAATGTGCTGTCGGGCCAACGGGGGCCCAGGGCCCAGCGCCACTTTAATGGGTGTCATGATGAGAGGGTGGAATCGGAGCAGGGGGATCCTGTATCATCCGTATAGGAAAGAAGAAGGAGGGATGAGAGGCCAGAGGAGGAGAGGAGGCAGGGCCACCAGAGGGGATGACAGATGTCACTTCTGGACAGGTATGTGAACTGAAGGGTGATGAGGAGAAACAGGAGGATGCGAGAGAGAGGAGGGAAGGATATTTGGTGTTTAGGTTCCTTTGTTTGCCACTGGCTACTGATCATGGTAAAGATGATGCGCCGACCTCTGTCACCTCCATGGGAAGGTATTGCTGAGTAAATCTTAAGGGTTGAATGTATTTCATTTGCCATCCACTTTCATTTCTAAAAGTACTTCACTTACAAATTGCACTTTAAAAGCAACAGAACAAATAAAATGCAAGGTGAAGCTTTATTTTGCAGGTCCATAATTTCAAAATAATTTCCGAGGAAAGGTTTGAGTGAATGTGTAATCCAGGACCAACTCTAAGAATTTCCCCATTCAACTGCTTCTTTTATTATCATCCATATATGTTTAACTGTATGCTGGGTACTTTTCTAATTTTGCATATTCATCTAACCTGCAGTCCTTTGACCAAAAACTTGTACAAAAGTTAATAAACTGGAGGTTGATCATTCTATTTTCCACTCACAACTGTCGGCATACATCATTACTTTTATAGCTTTTAAAAAATCACAGGAAAATATTGAGACATCAAGGACACGTAAAGTAAAGTGCTTTTCAGACAGTTTTTCAGTAACAACACAAAAAGATTTTTTGAACAGATGATATATAAGAGAAAGAGATTGAGTCAAACAGGTTCAGTTTGTTTGATGTGTTCAATATCTAAATAATGAGAATGATGCAATACCTCTGAGGGGAAACTGTCACAAAGCCTTGTCTTCAAGTAAATAGGAGTTGTATTTCCTTTAATTCCTGCTATCATGTTTTTTTGATTAAGTTTCAATTTTGTCATAATGTTTTGTCCAATTCTTTATTGTCTTGCACATCAGGGCTACCGTATAGGATGAGGACAAAGTTGGTGAGCTCCCATAATGTAGTTAAAGGTTCAGTGTGTAGAATTTAGTGATATCTAGTGGTGAAGTTGCATGTTGCTGTTGAATACCCCTCGTCTCACTCTCCCCTTCCAAACATGAAAGAAAATCTATGGAAACCTTCAGTTGTCATACAAACTCAAAAGTTTGTCCAGATGGGCTACTGTAAAAAACATGGCGGCCTCACTTTCTGCTAATAGATCCCTTTCACCTAAATCTTACACTGGACCTTTAATACAATTGTTCATCCACACAGACTGATTATTGGTTAATCTATGCTGCCCTCTACTGGAGCAAACCTGTCAACACAAGATTATCATTCCTTATAAGTGAACATTAGAAATCTCTCAAAGCATTCCAGTTTGAGTGACTCTGTTATTACATGGGAAGTTCCGTAATGATAAATGAATAAAACATATAGACTCCTAGCGCCATGTCATAACATGTAGGGAACCAAAGAGCCGTGAGGCAGCTGGTGTAGTATTAATGACCTGTCAGACTGAATCTGAAATGCCTTACTCAAGCAGAAAGCTGTGTAGCCGACACAAAAACGTTGACAAAGCTGCTGTTGCCAATATTGTTAGCGAAAATGTTTTTATTTGCAGAATTGTAAATTAGGCGAAGTGCACAGAGCCCAAGTGCAGCAGGTCAAATGTGGAGGGACTTGTAAAGATGATGTGCAGTATTAGTCTGTGAGGGTTTATCACACCTGAGGGAGCGAGTACATCAGATGCCACCAATCATATAATGCTATAATCTGTCTTCTTCATTCATTCCTGCATCACACGGTAAATCTAGACTCAGTGAAATCTGCCAGATAGACTCTAACTCACGTCCCTTCAACAGCTCAAAGGCAAGTGTCAGAATGCAGCCTTTGTTGATCATAAATTCTGCTCATATTTCATTTTGTGGTCCGTGGCCTGCAGGACTTTCCAGAAATGTTAGTTAACTCTTTTTGCTCCTTCTAGAGTCTGTGTACATGATGTAATAAAAAGGATTTGTGTTTATACAGAGTCTGCTCCGAGGTCACGTATCCTGCTACGGGTGTCTCCTGGCACTGGGGTGGTGAATTTAGAGACTGCCTTCGAAGGTCAAAGGTGAGGGGGCCAGGCAACCGTCAGGCAGCATACTTGTTCCTCCTCTCATAACGTGGCAAAGCATTTACTAAAGCTTATTAGACTATCAAATATGATTAAAATATACTGGGTTACTTGTAACCTAGTAAGTGCAAACCTCAAAATATTCCCCTTGTGAGACTTTTATGTAGAACCAAATTGCACACACTCATAAATACAAATCCCTCATCTGATCCCTTCAGTTGTTTCCGCATAATCTTACATGCAAACAAATGAAGCAACAAGCAGACGGACAGGGGTGAAAATATATATACAATGCTCGGTGGAGCTAATAGTCAATAATATATAAAATAATGAGCCTGTTATAACACACATCCCATTTACTGGCTTCATTAAACAAGTCAACTCAGTATGAACAGAAAGACCTTTGCATTCCCCTTGAACCAGCCTGAGCCTGCAAGTCTGACAGTTCAGCATATCAGTTTGCAAATGTGAGGGATAATCATCTCACTAAATTTAGACTATTGATCAGGTGAAGATATGTGCAGGAAATGTGACCAGGCTGAACAGTATATATCCTGTGCATTGGTTGTTCCCCAGGAAAGACTTAACAAATTCAGGATGCCCACAGGCCTTTGGTGTTTTTGAATGTTTGGTTGCTTAGTAGAGGCTATGCTATGGACAGTCTGCATAAGTGAGAGGAC